GCCGACTTTATTCTTAGAATGCCGACTTTATTCATAGAATTCTGACTTTATTCATAGAATTCTGACTTTATTCTTGGAATTCTGACTTTATTCATAGAATTCTGACTTTATTCTTGGAATTCTGACTTTATTCTTGGAATTATGGCTTTTACTCAAATGATTTTTTTGTTTAATTAGGAAAGTCAAGTCACAATTCTGTTTTTTTCCTAAGAAATTTTCACTAACTTTTTTTCATAMTTGAGAAAAAGTCGCAATTTAGACCTTTTTCAGAATTCTCTTTTTTTCCCTCTGAATTCTGGCATTTTTCTTTGAGACTAAAGTCAGAACTCATGAAAAAAAAATCATATTTTTTGCTCTGTGGCTGTAATCCTCTTCCGTACTTTAGCTTACCTTGTCATTAAGAAAGCCGATCTTGAGGATGTTCTGCATATCCTGAACTCCATCAGCCATGTTCAGATCTCCGATGGAGTCTCCGAGCAGCAGCACGTTGGGGCGCGTCCGTAACTCCTGGAAGTGGCCGGTGTTCAGCAGCGCGCCTTCCCTTTTATTGTAGACGTGAATCAACTCTCCCTTGAAAGCCCTCAACGTGCCCTGTCCAAACACACGAAGCCTAATTACCCATCAAACCCCAGCTCTTGTCAGGAAGTTAGAATAGGTGGAGTGTGGCGACTCACAGACTCATCAAAGTCCATGTAGTTGGAGAAGATTTTGACGTTGGAGAGGAAGACGTTAAAGTGTCGAATCACCTCTTCCAGGATGTCTCCGATTCCAGCAGAGAAGATGAGCAGAGGGACGTCGTGCTTATGCAGGTGGTTGAAGAAGAACTCGTAGCCGTCCCTGTTCAACCATCCAAACAGAAGGTTCCCGCGTCACAAACTGCTCCCAGTAACCCAACACCTGTTCTACCTGTGAGACGTTCTGACCTCAGCCTGGCTTCAGACTCGTGCACCGCCTCGGCCAACTGGTCTTTCCTGACTTTCTGCTCCACCAGGAGGTCGTGAGCTTTGGTCCACCTGTGACATAAACACATAAACACCTCCTAAAATACTGAGCTCAAAAGCAACACCAGATCAACTCTGCGTAATTTAGGCTAACACCCACCACTCCACCATTAGAGGCAGCTTCTCTTCCACAGACAGTGAGGTGTCGATCTCTATGGGATAATAGGTCTTAAGGAGGTCGGCTAGCTGAGGAACACAGAGAAAACCAATGATAATTACCTGATCAGAGAAGCCTTTAATGGAAAACATGTTGTTAACATGTAAAACAGTAATTTTAAAACAAGTTGTAAACCACAGGTACAAAAACTATAACTAAAATCAAACAAAATGGGAATCATTCAAATTGACTCTTTTTTTACATTTGTAAAAGAACCTGTTTGCATTTCTCATTTTGACCACTAGATGGCAGACAGAACCAATGAAATACAATTTAAAAAATATGCAAATAAAACAAGAAAATTGAATGGTTGAAAACTGGCAGGTCAGACTTATTTTTTTTTACGCCACTTCAGTAGAAAACAGAACTTAATATTAGTTTCTTCGTCATCAGTGAGTGACTTTTTAAAATTTTATTTTATTTATTWATTTTTTTTTAGAAAAGACAAGAAAAAGAAAGAGAAGAAAAAGGAGAAATGTAATGTGGAAGATTAAAAGAGAGATTAGATATGTGAAATATAAACCAAGAAAACACAAGACAACACACCCGACATCTGTCTGCACACCTGTAAAAATGGAGAAAACAGAAACACAGCAACAAATAACATGTGCATAATAATTATAATTATTATACTGTATATATATATGTGTGTGTGTGTGTGTGTGTGTGCCCACTAGGGCTGCCACAAACGATTATTTTAATAATCGATTAATCACCGA